CGCAGGCCGGTGCTCTATCCACTGAGCAACACCAGCGAGGGCCAACAGGATGCAATCTTCGTCCTCACCTTCCCGCGTGCGGTATCTGTGTCTTGTTGGAGACATTCTTCCCGCCCCTCATAAAAACACTCGCACTTTCTGTTGTTAGAGGTACACATTGCTTCTGCCTTCCACACTTTCGTTTTGTGTTTTTTAAAAATATATTTTTTTATTAATTTCAGAGAGGAAGGGAGAGGAAGAGCGAGAAACATCACTGATGAGAGAGAATCATGGATCGGCTGCCTCCTGCACACCCCACACTGGGGATCGAGCCTGCAACCCACACATGTGCCCTGACTGGCAATTGAACCTTGACCTCCTGGTTCATAAGTCGACGCTCAACCGACCCCTGAGCCACGCAGGCCAGGCCATACTTTGTTTTTTCACCTCAGAGCGCTGGGGCTTTGAGGACACAGCGAGGCAGGGATGCCGTGTCACAGGGCCCCGGAGCGCCCCACGGGTGACGAAGGTGCCACACCCAGCGGGGGCGCCGTGGCTAAGTCAGCACGAGGCTGCCTGTGGTCTCCCAGGCCATGCCTGTCCCTGGAGTCACGCACTAGTTCTGGAATAAACCCGCACCAGCCAGGGCCGCCCCGCTCACTGCCCTCTCCCTTCCGGGCGCGCTGGCCCTCCCATTCTGCCACCTCCCCTGAGGGCCCCTTGCAGTTTTGCACAAACCCTGTGGGGCTTCCTGGGAATAGCAGAAGCCCCGGGTCAGCTTGAAGAAAGCCGACATCTCGCCCTGGCTGGTTTGGCTCAATGGGTAGAGCGTCAGCCTGCGGACTGAAGGGTCCCGGGTTCGACTCCAGTCACAGGCTTGACTCTGGTCAAGGGCACATACTCGGTTGCAGGCTTCCTCCCTGGCCCTCGTCGGGGCGCATGCGGGAGACAACCCATCGATGTCTCTCTCACATCGATGCTTGTCTCTCTCTACCCTTCTCTCCCACTCGCTCCAAAAATCCATGGAAAAATATCCACGGATGAGGGTTACCACAAGCCCCATTCTCTCTCTGCCACGGCGAGTTCCTGCCCACGGGCATGGTCAGTGTGGGGCTAGCCAGCCGTGGGCAAACTACGGCCCGGGGGCTGGATCCGGCCCATTTGAAATGAATAAAACTATTGAAATAAAAGACCGTACCCTTTTATGTAATGATGTTTACTTTGAATTTATATTAGTTCACACAAACACTCCATCCATGCTCTTGTTCCGGCCTCCGGTCCCGTTTAAGAACCCATTGTGGCCCTCGGGTCAAAAAGTGTGCCCACCCCTGGGCTAGGCCATTGCGGAACAGGGCTCGCGTTCCGGGCACGATGGTAAACTGCCCGAGGGTAAAGCATTTGACTCCCTGGGCAGGTCTGCGGGGCGGAGGGACGGTGCTCACCCCCCCAGCGAAATGGCCGCTTGTCCCTCCTGCAGGCGCCAGCCTCTCGCGTTTCCTATGCAAACAGCGTCCATTTGTTTCTCCAAGGATCCTCCCCTCTGAGTCTGTTCCTTCTTCTCGCGTCAGCCACCTGACCTCCAATGTGACCTTGACTGGAAGTGGTGGAAGCACTGGCCTTGCCCTTGACCTTCCGCTGACCTCTTCTCAGGCCCCTGGAAACAGGGCAGGAAACCCTTAGGCTGAAGCGCTATCCTCAAGCTGGGAGTATTCCTCATACAGAAGGGGGACGTGGGG